CATGAATTATTGCCAGATGGTAAGTGTCAAACTGAACTTGCCCTTTAAAATTAGCTTCCGCTAGTTTTTCTATGGCATAAGTGCTTTTGAAGTTGCGAACCTAAATATTTTCATAAAGGCTTTAGAAATTGCAGAAGTAATTTTTGGATTAGCGCTGCCCACCACTGCCTGCATCTTAGTTGGTTCATGGGGAATTTTGCCAATTCTACAGTAACATACAGACGTGTACAAACATCACCTTCGCCGGCAGTTAAACTTTTCAAACATATCAAACACAAACTRCTTCACTGAGCAGGTAGAGGGGGCGGGACTTACCAGCCGCAGCCATGTGCTCGCTGGTTCTGATTGGCTGGAAGCCGACAAAAGGAACCTGCATCGACAGTATGAGCCCCACAATGTAGAAAGTGCTGTATGCTGCAAAAATGGGACAAAAAACAAAAAGTAAAAAAAAAAAAAAAGAAACGAATTGAGACCAGATAAGAAATACAACAATGAAAAAATATTACAGCATAAAAAAAGCTATTACTGAACTCTAGTTTTGGGCCCAGTCAGGGAAATCAACCCAAATAGAGGTGTTTAAAGTCTATTGATTTTCACTGCCTAACCTCCTGGGGAGTAAATACAAAATAGCTAATCTAATGTCATTTACTGAGAAAATGGGAGTTGGCTCGGCACAGTGTGGCAGGGAGGGCTGGAGTGTGACGGCCCTGCTGAGAATGGTGAGACTCCCCACCTTTGTGGCTGAAGGGTGGTGGCGGGGAACTGATTCACACACACACACACACACACGCACACGCACACACACACACACATGCACATACACACACACCAGCTTAATTAAGATTTCATACTCTTCCTGAAGAGTGTGACTCGTTTTTGAAGTAGTTGTGCCTGCACCTCAGCCGTCTCTTTTTTTACACATCTGCTATTGATTCAAGACAGAGCGAGATGAAGTGCGAAGGGAACCTAGACTGCAAGGCGTTTAATTAAAGTGAGATTCTTTTTTTTTTGCATTTCTTTATTTGAGGCTTAGAGACACCTGGCTCTGAAAGGAGGCGAAGCGATCTGAAATGAAGAGGTTTAAAAATAATAATAATAAAAAATAGAGCGGGTGCTCTGTGACCTAATGGATTTTCTGTCACCAAAAGTTGCTTACAAATTTATTTCTCCATCATCCGAAGTTTTTAAATGATGCTCAGATTGCAGAGAGAAAGCACAGAAAGTGAGGGAAGATTTTCCGCCTCATTTAGCCATCCTGCTTCACGAAACAGAATTTCACTTCTGAAGAACAGTTTGGAGATGGAGCAAATGTCAAAACCCTTTTACTGTGACGAGACCATGATGCACTTCAAACCACCTAAAGACTGTGCTTTGTGAGTAGAACTGATAATGAGGCGTAAATGATACTTGACATGGTACCGTTCTTCTTAACCACAGGAGCTGCAGACTCGCTGCTGCTGTGTGCCGACGCTAAAAACGAGTGGTTTGGAGGGTTGAACTGGAGTTCTCTGAGCCAGCCGAGCTGGCAGCTGTGGGGGAACTGGGATATTCTGAGGAAAAACAAACCTATCCTCCTCATCAGCGCTCCGTCTCTGGTTGTTACAAAACAGTAAAGAGGATCAGGAAGCAGGTGGCTGCGTTTACTGTTAAGCGCTGTGTGGATGTCTGCAGTACTAATGATGAAATGCTGAGGCTCGTTTCGAGGTCAAATGTTTGGGTAACGACGTTTGAAAACACACGGGGGAGAGAGGTGGATTGCATGTTTATTGCATACATTTCTTTTTATTACCGCCGGGAAATGATGTCTGCAAACAATACCCGTCTCCGTTTCAACCGGCGCGTACGAAGACATTTTAAATACCAGGTCAGGCAGAGATGGATGCTGTGTGTTTCAGACGTGTCTGTTTGCGTCTTACCGATATAAACCCTCCTGCTGTAGCGCTGCATTAGCAGCAGCACGAACACATGCAGAGGAATCAGGTTGATAATGAACACATATCCTCCCCAAGCCGACACCTACAAGAGACAATAAAATATTAAAATATCAGTCAGCATAGTGTGAACACTGAAAGTTAAAACACTGACGAGTTTGGGACCATTCCAAATTCCAAATGAGGCCAAGACCAACAGTTTTAAAGTGATTTTTTAAATATTCAATGGGTGAATTTGAAGAGTTCGTGCACTCGTGCTGCTTTTCCAGTCATGTGATTTTCTTCTGACACAGCACATTCCACTCAACACACCTCCTTAAAGTCAGAGAAAAAAAATTAAACTGCGCCAGTGTTTGTCACTGTGGTGTATTTTGAAAGGAATATGGAGTGAAATCAGCTTTACTGTGTGGATCTCTCTCCATGTTGACCCACTGGGCGAATGGAAATAAAGAAATAGATGCAAAAACAGCAGCACATCTCTACCTGAAGCCAGTCCCAACCACGTGCATACGGTCATGTTTTAAGCACAAATATAAACTAAATGAAAACAGGAAGTAGTCTTAAATCATAAAAGAGCAGTTGAGTTTGTTAAAACTGCTATTTCTGCTTTTAAACGGTTTGTTGTAGTTTTGACACCTGCTGGGTTTTACAGTATTAATTAGCCCCGCAGGAGTAAAAACTGAAACACGTTGTGAAAAGCATGAATTGTAAGTTGGTTTTATGTTTGCAGTGGTGGCCTGGGTGCTATTTGATGAAACGTTTAATGGTTAGTGTTTCTGCTTTAAATGTCTATTGCTAGTATTTACACAGATTAATGTGGCTTAGTGCAAACAGGGCGGCGGCAGCTAGCACTTCAAATGTAGCCAGTGAGGTGTCCAACTGGTGGTGGTTAAAAATAAAAAAAAATTGACTACTCATAAGAACTATTACAAAACATAGATTTGAGTTGTTTTAATATAAAAGCAACTCACTTTGGTCTTGATCCAATTAGAACGAGAACTTAGTTCATTTGTATCACCAGAACACAACTAATCCAAAGTAGAGGTCGACCAATATTAGTTTGTTTGTTTTTTTGTTCCCGATACAATAAAAACACTTAACTTAAAGGGGCAATATCATGTAAAATCAACTTTGAGTTTTATATTATGTTATAATGTTATACTCTCATAAAAAAACATACCCAAAGCCTTGCTTTGACTCATTCATGCATGTTTGAGAAATCCTGCAGCGTTTTTATGAAGCCATGCTGAGGAGCAAAACAACAGGTGGGGACCAGAAACACCTTTTGGGACCAGGATCGCCCCTGGGACGTGTCTTTAAGCTGAACTTCCTCATGGCAGAGTGCCCCCCTCCCCACTCCCCACACCCTGCCCATGACTCCTGCAGACTCTCGGGTGAAAGTGAAACCTAACTGTCTGCTGAGCTCTCAACATTAGTTCTCACTCAGTGAAGCTCTTTTCAGATTAAAAGTATCTTTGGGGAAATGTATTTTCAGATGCCAAGTAAACTGCATCATGGCAGCCCCCCCATCGCAAGCACGACCCCCACCCCCCCGCACCGAAATGGGCGAAACAGAAGCGAAGGAGGTTCTTAAAGAGACAGAGGCCAATTTCAAGGCGTTTCGAAGAGGAAGTGATGAGAAGAAAAGTTTATTTTCTATTTAAACATAAACAGTATTTTAATAACAGCTAAAGGTGACATAGATACTTTATTATGGTATAGTATTTAAATATATGCCTGAGAAACACATATATTGTAATCTTTAAGATTATTTAATTTTACTGTTATACATTTAATTGTTCTACATTGTTTGCTATCCACAGTTAATATGCTTTGTTCGTTTTTTAAATAAATGTTTCCCTCTTTTTTTTTAATTGAGACTTGTGTAACATTTGTTATCATTGAGTTATTTTTATCATGTAAATGGAAGAAAAAGAAATATTGGCTTCAAGAATTGCCTTGAGGTCATTAAAAGAATCTTTAACTTTTAGCAACAATTAACGTGAATGCCAGATATCAAAGTTTTTCTAATATGACTAGATCATTTAAAATGTGCCATCAGCTCTAAAAATCCTTCAACAGCAAATGGAAACAGCAAGTACATGTCAAATAATTAAATCATTGTCTTTTCTCAAAAATAATGACACTGCCTCCACCAAAAAATCCTCCTATTCTTTGCGCAGGTGTTTGAAGGATGTTATTTTTAAGCTGTGCTTGTTGGTCAAACAGAGCTGTTAGGAAAAGTGCACGAATGCAGAGGAAGAAAATGAAAGATCTGAGCTAAAGTGTTAAACCTAAAGAAATGCAAAAACAGCAGCAAGGGAAAATACAATAATAAAAGGTGATTGAATACATGAAAATTATTTAATCTCCTTTGCAAACAGCTTCTAAGAGTGTTTATGCATCTGCTAAATGCATACAAAATGAACTCATACAGCAGAAATGAGTAGTCTATGTTTAATTGAAGAAAAAAAGAAATTCAACATTAGGGCAGAGAATTAAAAAAGGTCAAATTCTTGCTGGTGCAGTTCTCTTTTGGCAGGCCCTGGCATCTGTTGTCTGAGATGGTGACAACCAATTAGAAGCCTGTGAACCGTAAATTGAATAAATAACAAAGATGACTTCAATTCAAGTCATTTTCAGTGTTGACACCAGAACGGCTGATCAAGGCATTCAGACTATCTGGCAACTAATGAAACGAGAACAGTGGAGGAACAGTGAGGGGCGACCAGTGACATCTTGCTGTGCTAATTTTTTGAGCACGAGGTTCAGAGTCAAGGAAAACAGAATATGCACAGCAGGATTAAGAGGAAGTCTGGAGGGGAGCTTGAGAAACTAATCAAAATTCCTTCAGCACATCAGGCCAAAACTAACTGCAATTTAATATCCCGCATTCAACAATGGAGTCTGGGCAGCTCCTTAACACTCTGCTCCACTAAAGCGCAGAGTGAAGTGAAAGCAGTGAACTCACCCAGACATGTGGCCGAAGTTACAGAGCAGAGAAAAGATGATCTCAAAACATTTCACAGTGCAAACTGAGAAAACAGGTTGGTTTTTCTATCTGAAGAAAGGATCTCAAAAGTTATCCATCTTTACAAACACAGGAATGTGAGCTTTAGTTCAATTTAAGATGAAAGATATAGGATTTTTCAGTCTTCTAAAGTTCTCCTTTATGTAAAGTTTCATCTGATACATGCCTTTAAAACTGTCACAATTACCGTTATTAGTCACCAATTAAATGATTTCATATTAAACATGTTTAACATCCTGTTTCCATTTATAATTTAGAAAATGTTCATCTTCAATTATGCAGGTAGCTCTGAACTCAGCTATACATTAGGGTACGGCGATATTGGCAGAAAAATTAAACGTGATTTATTGTGGCATTTAGTCGACAATTACACTCACACATTTTTACTCTAAATTAATTACCTTGTATTCTAAAAATGTACTTACAAATCAGTCAAACTAACTTCGTAGCAGGGTAAAATGGTAAGCTGTGAGTTGAAACTCAGCTTTTCCACAATATGGAGCAGCTCTTTAGTAATGCAATAAGCCACAGGCTCATGTGAGCATTTGATCACTTGCACACAGAATGACATCATGTGACACTAATTGCAGTGATTGCGAAGCAGCAAATTTTAATTGTTGACAATTTTTCTGGCAAACAATCGCACACAATACAATTTTGCCCTGTCCTTGTGAAGAAATTTATTAGTCATGTTAGATACTGATTTTAAAAGCACTACACCGTTTTCTTAGTTTTCCTTTTTAAGTATTGACTTTTATAAACTATTGTTTGACTATTGTTATGTCTTGATTAAAACAGTTTAGATATATGCCCGAAACACCATCACAACACATAAGAAACTGTTAATCAAACATAAGTACAGGTTTTTTGTCTGAGTGTCAGCGATTCAGCCGTAGGCCAGTAGTGGGCGTACCAGGCACTGAAGAACATGTATAAATATGCCGGAATTTCCAGTTTCTTGTCAGCGTTGGTTGCCTATCTGCACAGACAGATTAAACCGGCGTTCACTCCAGTCACTGGTGTTGTATGGTTCCATTCTCTTCAYATTTAATCTATTCAACATTTACAGCAGGTAAAATAAGTATTGAATACGTCAACATTTTTCTCAGTAAATATATTACTAGAAGTGCTAATGACATGAAATTTTCACCAGATGTCGGTAACAACCCAAGTGATCCATACATACAAAGAAATCAAACCATAAATGTCCAGAAATGAAGTCGTTTGTAATAATGTGGAATGGCACAGGGAAAAAGTATTGAACACATGAAGAAAGGGAGGTGTAAAAATGCATGGAAAGCCAAGACACCAGCTGAACTCTCTCAGTAATCAGAAAACAAGCCTTCCCCTTGTCAGTGCAAGTTAATATCAGCTGGTTCAGTCCCAAATGATGGCCAGGTATCACACAAGAACCATCTGATGATGGGTAAAAGTAAAGAGCTCTCTCAAGACCTTCACAACCTTATTGTTGCAAAGCATAATGATGGCATCGGTTACAGAAGAATGTCTAAACTTCTGAAGGTTCCAGTGAGCACTGTTGGGGCCATAATTCAGAAGTGGAAAGAACATTATTTCACCATAAACCGACCACGACCAGGTGCTCCTCACAAGATTTCTGACAGAGGAGTGAAAAGAATTATCAGAAGAGTTGTCCAAGAGCCAAGGACCACTTGTGGAGAGCTTCAGAAAGACCTGGAATTAGCAGGGACGTTTGTTTCAAAGAAAACAATAAGTAATGCACTGAACCACCATGGCCTGTATGCACGCTCACCACGCAAGACTCCACTGCTGAAGAAACAGCATGTTGAAGCTCCTTTAAAGTTTGCTGCACAACATTTAAAAAGCCTGTGTAATACTGGGAGAATATAGTCTGGTCAGATGAGACCAACATTGAACTGTTTGGATGCCAGAATACACATCATGTTTGGAGGTCAAATGGCACTGCACATCAVCCCAAAAACACCATACCAACAGTGAAGTTTGGAGGTGGGAACATCATGGTGTGGGGCTGTTTTTCAGCATATGGTACTGGCAAACTTCAAATAATTGAAGGA